AAACTTATACCGGACAAAATAAACTTTAAAGCTAAGGTTATAATAAGAGACAAAGAAGGATCCTGTAATCCCACTTCTGGGTATTTACCCAAAGAAACCCAAAATGCTACTTTGAGGGGATGTGTGCATCCATATGTTCAACACAACATTGTTTACAATGGCCAAGATGTGGAGACAGCCTGGGTGTCATTGATGGATGAATGGATAGAGTAGGTGGCACATATATACAATGGAACATTGCTCGGCCACGGAAGGGAGTGGGTTCTTGTCATCTGCAGTGGCATGGATGGACCTGGAGGGTGCTGTGCTCAGTGGAGTATGTCACACAGAAAAAGACAGAGGCTATGTGATTTTACTTATATGTGGAATCTAAAGAACAAAACAAAAACAAAATAAACTCATAGGTATACATTGGGTTGTCGGAAAAGTCATGATGCGTTTTTGCAACGAAAACCAGAAAAAAATACGTCATGAGTTTTCCGACAACTCAAAAGAACATTTTGATGATTGCCAGATGGGAGAGGGGTTGGGGGTCTGTGTGAAAACGGGGAACGGATTAAGTACAAATTGATTTTTACACCACAGTCATGGGGATGTAGGGTATAGCATAAGGAATATAGGTCAATAATATTGTAATAACTATGGTGTCAGTTGGGTACTGGATTTTTCAGGGTGCTATATGGGAGGGGGGTAGAGGCAGGGTGAAAAATGTAAAGGGATTAAGAAGTACAAATTGGCAGCTACAAAATAGTCATGGAGATGTAAAATAAAGCATAGGGAGGGCCTGCTGAGTGGCGCATTGGTTAAGAGCTGGCTTGGGACGCCAGAGGGCCCCGGTTCGGATCCCACATATGAGGGCCAGTGACACTGCCCTCCACGGCTAAGATGCTGAATGACAGCTCAACTTGGAGCTGGGCTGCCGTGAGTTGCCGGTGACGGCGTAGGCTGCAGCCCCTGCTGCAGTGGGTTGCCATAGGCTACCCTGTGTAGCCAGCAGCCAGCGTGAGTGGCCGTCCAGAAGCCGGCGACTGATCTGCCTCGCCCGGGAAGAGCGCAATGATGGTGCCAATTTGGGCCAGTGAAGCAACGTCCTCCACAACTAGACTGAAGAACAAAAGGGCAGCAAGTTGTCTGTTCCCCTTCCCCCAATTTCCCAATAAAAATCTTTAAAAAAAAATAAAAAAAGCATAGCGAATATAGTCAAAGATACGGTGGTAATACTCGTAACTATGTATAGTGCTAGGTGGTTACTAGACTAGTCAGGGGGATCACTTCTTAAATTATATAAATGTCTAACCACTCTGCTGTATACCTGAAATTAATATAAAGTAATATCGAATGTCAACTGTAATTGAAAATATAAAAAGGCGGGGGGGGGAGGTGAAGGGGAATACAATGTCCAAATTTTCAGGTATATAACAAGTCATGGGGATGAAATGTGCAGCATAGGTAATATAGTCAATAATATTGTGATAGCGTGGTACAGTGTCAGATGGTTGCTGGACTTATGGTGATCACTTCTTCAGGTATATAAATGTTGTACACTTGAAACTACTATAATATTCTATGTTAGTTATATTTCAATGAAAATCTTAAATAAAAACTCAAAACTCAAAAACCAGAAAACATCAATGATGTGAAAAACCAAAGTGGAGGAACCAACCAAAACTGAAGAAGCATAAAGTGAGCTGACAACTAAGTGCAGTAAGTGATGCAGAGATGAAAATATTGTCATAAAGGACATTCTTGGGACACTTGCAGCCCAGGAATATGGACTGCAGGCTAAAGTACTGATTCAATGTTGAAGTTCCTGAATGACGGTACTGTGGACACAATAAGAGAATACATTTGTTATTAAGAAATATACACAAAAATATTATACAATAAAGGAGTATGATGAATGCAATCCACTCGCAAATGGTTCAGAAAAAATACATAGTTTAAAAATAAGTATGCTCAGTCTGAGTCATGTGTCAGTCAAAGACGACTGTGCCCCACCAAGTTGTGTGAAAGGTTGCAGTGATCCTTAGAAGCTGAGGAAGACAGGAGGATGCACCAACTGCTAGGAGGACAGCATAAGGCTCAAGATGGAAAATCATGAACCAGATGATACTGTCAAGGAAAACCAAATTTTTGGTATCATAACCAGAAAAATTAACCAATTTCCAGAAATGAAAAGGGGTCTACTTGAACATGGATCAACATATATTAGATTTAATGCTACTCTCTGTGGCCTAATAGCACATAGTCTTTTTCAGCACATCTTAAATGTGACATAAGCTCATATAGCTGTGGGTTTACCAATGGCAGTGATCCTATTTTTGACACCAAACATACGAGTATCTTACAAAGGTTTCCTAAGTTTACCACAGAATAAAGGTGATTTGAATTGTGAAACCTGTACCACAACACAAGGTGGATTAGTTGGTCTTGTTTTTGGTGGTCTGTACAGTTTTCTTGGCTATACCTGTGAATGGTGGCCTAGCAGCCAGGTATGCTCAGCCCTGCTACCAGAGAAAGGAAATAACTTAACCTACCAGATCAGAACTAAGCCTGTCTTTAGAAAGACATTATTTCTCACTTTCTCCAGACTGGATTTGCAGGGTACCTTGGTTCTAGACAATATAAACTACTTATAAAGGCTCTTCAGTGCTCTGAACCTGGCATAGAAATTCAGTGATAGTTCAAACAGTCCAGTCAGTGATTGGGCGGTCATGCCAAAGCCACCAGGAGGCATGCCCCCACCACCTGACAAGCATCTGACACATTGAGTCAATGTGCCAAGTTTAGGCAGACCCAGTGAAGCCTCGCATCTTGGCATGGGCAGTGTTATGGCCTGAACTATGCCCTACTCCCAAATTCTTATGTTGAAGTCTTAACCCCCCAGTACCTCAGAATGTGATTAGAGACTGGATCTTTACAGAGGTAACCGCGCCCTAATCCAATATGTCTTGTGTCCTTCCTTATAAGAAGAGATTAGGATACAGGCACACAGAGTGAAGACCATGTGCAGACATAGGAAGAAGCTGGCCACCTATAAGTCTTCCTTCACGGACTTCAGAAGAACCAGCCCTATCACACCTTGATGTCAGCCTTCCGGCCTCCAGAACCCTGAGAGAATAATTTTCTGATGTTTACGCCACCAAGTGTGGAACTTTGTTATGGCAGCCCCAGATTAATACAGGCAGAAAGCAGGCCCCCACCATTTGACAAGCATTTGCTTATTTATTTTGCACTATGGTCCTGAGGCTGAAGTGCTAGTTTCATCCCTAATTTAGAAAGGAGGGAACACAGGGTGAGGGAGGTCCACAGCTTGCTTCATTGTTTACAATGGCCAAGATGTGGAGACAGCCTGGGTGTCATTGATGGAATCAGGTGGCGAGCTGCAACCTGATTCCAGACCCATCTATCACCAGGGTCTGTGTGCTTTATCCCATACTGGCTGCATCTGAAAGACCACCAAGGCCCTCTGGTCAGACACTCTCACATTACACCCGGGCAGTCTGAGGACCTGAAGCTCAGTAAGTTGTCCAAATAAATAGCGGAATAAACACATCATGATTCCCCAGCTCCAGTCTTGCATTCTACTCACCAAACTAAAGTACCTTAAAACGGATAGGGATGCCTTAAGCCAAAAGACTAGATCTATGACAGTGGTACCCCACAAAAGCAAAGGAAGCCAGGAGTCACAGGACCTTTAGAGAGCTCACACCACCTATCTCTGTGGCATCAACACTGAGGGAGAGAAAACTGTAGTCACCAGATGCCTCTCTCCCTGAATGCCAGGGAACTGTGCCAGCTGGTCAACCTGGCAGGACAGTGATGCTGAAAGCTACAGATATCACAAACAAATGAATGCTCCTAGGAAGCAAGGGATAGCTAGGACACCTGATCCACAGTGTGACCTTGGGTTAAGTCACTTTATCTCTTTGACCTCCAGTTTTCTCACCTGAGCTAGGTGTTGCACACACATAATTCATCTGATCTTTAGAATAGCTCTGGGGTGTCAGTGTTATCTCTGTGGCCGTCTTTGGAGTGCTCTGCTAAGATTTACCTTTAGGGGACAACAGGCTGTAAGGACTGCAGGGAGCTGAAGCCTCTAGCTGCCACCTCTGGGATCCACCACACCATACATCCTGAGGTTCCCAGGTTGCTAGCCAATGACTGGCCGCAGCAGGGGTGCTAGAGCCTGGCCATTTCTGCCCCATGCTAGACTCTTCAGTTTTGGCATCCACATCACAGAGGACCCAAAGTAACACCACCCCCATTTTGCAGATGAGGAAACTGAGGTGATTAACATGGCTAAGTTCATACAATTAGGATTCAAAACAACTTGATTCCAAAGCCCAAGCTCTTAACCGATGGTTTAAAGAACAAAGGAGAAAGTGTGCTGATACACTTTGTAATGTTATACTAATTCTTGTGATCATTAACAAAAGGCAAAGTAGTGCCATGGGAAGAACACCATATCAGGAAGCTGCTCCAACATTTATTAGCAAGGTGACATTCACTAGATGAGTCCTTTTATCTTATTCTCCCTATTTTATGGATGACAAAACTCCCACCAAACCCACTTACCTCAAAAGGTAGTTGCTATAATCAAATGAAACTTCCCCTCAAGAAAATTGGCAAATAAACACATTATGTGAGTGGAAGATTCTGCTAACTGCAAAGCATTATGTAAATATGTGGGGGCAAATGGATAATGGTCTGAACCTGAAGGATTCCAACAAAGGGAGTAGTGCCACTTCTCTTAAACAGTCCCCCAAACATGGGAGAAAATGATTATGGAATGAAGAAAACAAAGGACAAAGTTAAATATTCCAAATTTCTGAATGGCTCTTATTCATGCCCACAGCCCCACACCTATACCAGTCCCTGGCACACATTAGATAAATAACTCTTTAGTGAGAACTTCAAAAAGACCTCCAATCACCATCTTTCTGCCCTGCAAGACAGAGGCATAAGCTTTCCCCAGTCTCATGTGCAAAGCAGGATACCTGGCAGTTCATGTTGTCTTCCGCCTCAATGAGCTTCCCACGATACACCTCACCGGTGTTTGTCTCACACGTCACAATGTGACCCTCAGCCTCATGTAGAACTTTAATCGGCACACCAATAGACATCTTGGCAGGAAGAGAGTTCTACGGTGAGAGAGATAACAGTTAGTTCATCTTTCAGAGCCTGAGAAGGCAGTGGCACACACCATGCCTCCCTTAAGGCCTGAAACTCCATAAAACTTAGCAAAGATGCCACAGCTACACTGTCTACAAAAAAGGCTTAACAACTAACTTGGGGTACCTTTCTGACAAACACATGTAAGATGTGGGGTGGAGAGGAATGTAAGTCTAGGTAGAGGGAAGTCTAATGGGAATGCAAAGTACCTTCCATCTCCCTCCCTGCTACCATATGTCCCTTTATCTTCACCAAATAGCCATCAATCAATTCTGTGTTTTGGGGCAAGGGGGTTGGAATGCATGTACCTTACAATGTATCTGTCAACCCTGAGCTGTAGGTGACACCATTTTGAGAACCCATGATATAAACCCAAGCTGTCCAATACAGCAGCCACTGTCCACATGTAGCTATTTAAATTAAACTTAATTAAAATGAAATAAAATTAAAACCTCAGTCCCTCAGTCATATTAGTGACATTTCAAGTGCTCCACGGCCACTTGTGGCTAGTATTGGGCATGCATATGTACAGTATCACTAAGCAATGCTGATATAGACCAAAGGATCCAGGCAAATCTAGAAGAAGTTGTGTATTTAATTTAACCCATTCAATGCCCTTTGACCCTCTACACCATCAGCCTAAAGAGAAAATATCAGTGTTCACAAAGTGACAATGTGCTAGAAGCAGTTAATGCTTATCTTGGAGGAAAAACAATCAGGGCAAGCGCCTGGTTTGGTCTAATTAAGAGACAAATGGTGGATTTTTTTATTCCAAAACGAGCAACGACTAAAGGCTGGAACGCATCATGTGTGTTCAATTAAGAAAAGAAAACACAAGGTTGGAAAACACAGGCTGGCTCCCTTGGTGAGGAGCCTTAGGATTTTAGCCTGAAGACAGTAGGAAACCACTGCAGGATTATAGGTAAGGAATTATCCAATAAAAAGGCAGGAGCACTTACAAAATGGATCCAACACAGTTAAGAAGCACGGAAACTTGATAAAACTTCTGTAACAGTGCGGAAAGCATGAGGGCACCAGCGCCTGAATGGGGGATGGAGGCAATCAGCCAGAAATGAGCTCAAGACTACTGCCTGCATACTTCGGAAAACGTACAGAAAATGAAGAGTATGTACTTGGGGATAAGCTCATGAACTCACTTCCAGGCGCTAGTGAGGCGACGCTGACGGTTGGGTGGCCCCGGCTTCCCGCTCTTCTCCCTCCCCGAACCCCGCAGAGCTCCACGGCTGTGCGTCCTTCTCCAGCCCCCGGCCCCTCATGGGGGCCTCGGCCTACCCTCGCCTGCCCCTGGCCTTTCCTCACCGCCTCCGGCCTCCTCTTCCTTTCCCGCGCAGCTGCGGTGTATCAGGCGACTCCGAAAGCGTGAGGCGAGCGAATGGCGGACTCCGCGCTCCCAGAATACCATGCGTTCCCAAAATGCCGCGCGCAGAACCCCACCCCTTCCTTTTCCTAGTGGTGAGAGCGATCTCGCCTCCGCCTCCTCCTCACCCCGCCGGCTGGGAAACATAGGCTCTAGTACGATCGTTCCGGCCCCGGAAGAGAGGGCTGATGATGGGGCCCAGGTGCCACCGGAACTCGCGTTTCCAAGCACCCCACAACAGGGACGGGCTGGACCGAAGGGCGGAGATCTAGGGCTTGGGCCCTCGGCTCGGGGGCGGTAGGGCCGAAGGCTAGGATCTCCCCTCACAATTTAACCTTTGGAACCCGGCACTGCCAGGTAAGGGCGCCCTGAACAAGGCGAGGAATTTCACCATACGTATAGGGAAACTGAGGTATAGAGTAGAGAGGATGCCGGCCCAGCGATTCTGAGTGGACTCCTGGAGCCCAGTGGTGTAAGGGGCAGGACCAGGCCTGGGACCTGAGGCTGACAAAGAAGGGGTCTGAGAAGAGGTGGAGCTTGCTAACGGGAAGAGTCTCTGGGGAGCCAATGTTCGCCGAACTACAGGACTTCGGGGCGGGGCTCAGAGAGGGGGCGGGGCTCCCAAGGAACGGAGGCGGAGAAGGGCCCGTGCGTATTCGCGAGAACAGGGAAAGGGGCGGGGTCACCAGAAGCCAAGGCTGCGAATGGCCCGGGCAGGCTTAGATCAGGAGACTGGGGGCCTCTAGGAGTAAGAGTCCTGAGAAGAGAAAGGGAGGGGCCTCTTTGGAGGCCCAGGGAAGGGGAGGGGCTTGGAGAAGGGGTGGGGTCCCAGGATCTGAGGCCTGGAGGGGCCGGGGCGGGGCTTGGGGAGGCCCTGCCGCCGCCTCCCCTTCTCCCCACCGCGGTGGCGGTGGAGGTGGCGGCGGCGGAGGAGCTCTACACGTACCGGTCCCACTCCCGCCCCAGCCGAAGCTACAGCCGGCGCCAGGCCGGGGCCATGGGCGCCCTGCGCCGCCCGGGTCATGAGGACGGAGGCGGAGGCAGCGGGGTCGCCGCTCGAGCCCGGTTAGTGCCTCCCTGAGGGCCCAGCCCTCACTATGGGGAACGAGGGGTACTCCTACCCCCCCCCCCCCAGCGCAGGGCAGGGTCCGGCCGCGCGCGCGACCTTGGGCCGACCGCCGCCTCCGGCGGGGCTATAGAGCTTCCAGCGAAACCTGGCCAGGTGTACGCAGCCGCCTTGGTTCCCTATCCCCCAGCCCCTGTCAGTTGGGGTTTCCTGATACTCCCAGGGCTGAGACCCCAGTCAGCTCTGATAGAGGTCATGGTGGGAGGGCCCCGGGTTGTGAGGCAGGGGTGCCACCTTCGCCAGAAGCGAAAAGTCCTGCCGGGGTCGTCTTAGGAGATCCTGACGCCTGGGGGGAACCAAGGCCTAGAAGCGTAAGGAACTGCTGAGAACACAGAGCAATGGGAGGGCCCTTATTTGGCCTCCCAGACTCAGCGTTTTGCCTTGAACTGTTCTTCAGCCTCTGGTTTCTTCTGCGCCGAGGTGGCCTGGGTTCCTTTGGGGTGGAAACCAAGACTGACAGTCAGTGTCATGGTCCTCAGTTTGCTTCTCTAAGTGGAGAGCGGGGGAGTAGTGATTTCTTCTCTGCTTAAGGCAAAGGGTTGATGAGAAAGAGGAAAGGCTAGTACTAGTAAACTCTGAAGTGAGGTGCCAACTCATGGGAGAAGCCAAGAGCATGTGGGACCCTGACACTAACGCATCAGTGGAACCATAGTGGCATGCTGACAGAGTAGTCTCTTTTGTGTGTGCAGCAAGGAGTACGGTCTAATGCTGTCCTGGGATTTGCATCCTACTCCAACTGCGATCTTGGACCAGGCACTTGCCTTTCTTGCGCCTTAGTGGAGTAATGGCTCACCTTCATAAAAAGCTTTCTCTAGCAGGCACTGTGCTGTTTTTTTACACACAGTGCCTCATTAATCCTTATAACTACCCCATGAAGAAGGTTACTTTGTGATTTTCACTTTTACAGATGAACTGACTGAGGCTGAGAGGGGTGAAGTACTCAGGGCCAGTGAGCAGCCTTCCTTCCTTGGTGAAGTCAGCCAGGGCCTTCTAGGCAGACCCTAGTTCTCACGTGGGACATTCCTTTGCTCCGGGCATCAATATCTGGTAGCAGCTTTGGGCTTGGAAGGCCTCGCCTACCCTTATCATTCCCCACAGGAGTAACTCTAGGTCCCTACGGGCTGACCTGCTGGTGCCAAGACTGGGGGTGACCACAAGGAGATGTTTAGCCCTTTGGGACCTCAGAATCAAAGGGTTCCAAGGATCAGGGCAAGAAGAGAAGGGGCAGCAGAGTTTAAAGCTACTGCTTTGTACCACATTTATAGCTGGGCATAGGGGAAGGTACAGATAGACTCAAAGCCCAGCCAAAGATGGCCCAGCTACTCCATACCAGAGCCTGGGCCACAAAGTAAGGAAGGAGCCGTGAACAGGCTGTAGTCTAGAAGCCTGGGGGTGGGGGTGCTGGGCATTGCAGTGACAGGTAGGCCCTGGGCATCTTAAGGGATAAGGCCTTTGGGGAAAAGCACATTCCAATCACCAAGCATGTCTGAGTGCCTGCTCTGGGCTGAGGGCTAGGAGGAGGTAAATGCCACCTTGTCCCTACCTACCACTGAGGAATTCTCCATTTGTCCACTGGGGAAAGCAGACACCACCTCAAATAGTCCATATTGAGGGGCTCAGAGAGGGAAAGGGACCAGAGCATTTGGACGTTTAGAGATGGGAGACAACATTCCAAACTAAGGGATATATAAGAGCAAAGGCTGGGGAGTAAGCAGCCTGTAGAGAAAAACAAAAAGGCAGTTTATGACCACAACAAGGATTCTTGAAAAGGGAGGCACCCTACAATGCGGGGATAATAAATACCCTGAATAGAGCTCTCCCCACACTCAGCCCATTGGGGGGAATTATTTTAGAATATGAATCCCTGGAGGGCAGGATTTGGGTCTGAGTCACATTGTGTCCCCAGATCCTAACACACAGTCGGTGCTCAACAAGTTCATTTCTTCCAACAAATGTTTGTTGAGTTACTGCTAAGCATCAGACACCAGGCACTGGGAATACCAGTGAACAAGATTAGCAAATTCTCTGCCCTCAGGAAGCTTTCAGCCTAGCTTTATGTATTTATTTATTTTTGTTGCTTTTGCTAAGTACTGTGAGGGAAACAAACAGGATGCTGGGAAGGAGGGCTCTCTCCCTCTGAAAGTGTAGCCGAAAAAGCATTTCAGAGGAGACTTTGAGCTGAGACCTAAATGACAATAAGGGGCAGCCTTGAGAACAGCAAGGGAAAGAGAGTTCCAGAATAGAGAGTGCAAAGGCCCTGGAGTGGAATGAAGTTTGGTGGGTGCCAAGAGTAACAGGAACAGGGTGAATAAGGGGTAAAGGCAAAAGTGAGGCTAGTAGGGTCCAGGTTGGACAGGGCCCTGCAGGCTATAGTAAAGGGTGAGAACTCTATTCTAAGAGCAATGGGACACTATGGATGGCTTCTGTGTACAGAGATGGGAGAGGAGCTGGGGTGGAATTTGACGCAAGAACAGGCAGAGGTCAGGCAGGACTAAGCCTTCAGCACCGAATCCATGGCAGTGGGAGGAGGCAAATGTGTGAAGGCCCTGAATGAAGTGCCTGGGTTTCTTTTAAAAGCACCTGGGGTCAGGGGAGGGAGGGAACAAAGCCTCAGCCAGGCCTGGGCTCCGTGTGCCAGGCCCCTCCCAGCTGGATGGAGGCAGGGTTCACATCAGCACCCACAAAGGGCTTTACACACATTCTTGCCCTGAGCGCTCACAACACCTTGTAGGCTGGTGTCTGTGATGGTCCATTTCATAAAGGAGGAAGCAGGCTCAGGGAAGTCAAGTGCCTCTCAGGGGGCTCAGCCAGTGGGTGGCCTGCACGCGCCTATGCCATTCTGCCTTCCATGCTGCTGCACGCCATTGGGGGCGAGGGAGGAGTCTGGGGAGAGAGACCAATGCGATGCAGCAAAGGAGCAGCCACAGGTCACTGCCTCCTGGGAATGTGCAACAGCCCAGAAGGGTACAGACAAGTTCCATGCAAAGTGAGGCAAAGTGTGAACTCAGGCCTGGCGGAGTGCAGATGAAGGAAAGGGCGTGGCCAGCCTGAGATCAGAGAAGACCCAGAAGTGGTGGCATCTGTGCCAGGCCCTGAAGGCTGGGGAGGATTTAGACATAGGAGAGGAGGAGCATAGGACCCATTTTAGGCAAGGTACTGCCCAGACAGGGCCGGTAGGTGGGAGGGCCAGGATGGACGCCAGGGCTAATGAGTGGCCCTCCTGATTGGTGCATGCAGTGGGAGGCAGGCGGGATCCCAGGGCAGCTCTGCACAGGCTGGTCTTGGGTTCAAGAAAGGCCCCAGAGACCCTGAGGTGAGGAAACAGTGTGGGCTGGGTTTTCCTTGTGCTGAATGGGTGTCATGAATGATAATGAGTGGTGGTGACTACTGAAAGGAAGTCCCTCCTGGTTCTTTAGACTCTGAACTTTGTCCAGATTCATGGAATGCCAGAGTGGGAGGGTCCTATATGCCCGCGCCAGCTCGCCCCTGCTTCAGGGCCTCAGCGCGTGCTGTTTCCCCTCTGCCTTGTGCTCCCTAACTCTTGACTCTCTAAGGCACAGACCTGCCATTTTCCCTAGCCTAGCCCCCAGTTTTTCTCTTACAGTTGCTTGTTTGTGGTGTTCACCAGGACAGGGACCTGTCACTCACCTCTGTATCTCTAGTAAACATGCCAGGCACTTGCTAGGCCCTTGGAAAATATTTGTTGATTGAGTGACTGAATCAGACCAAAGTCCCCAGCTTTAGAGATGGCCAGACTCAGCCCAGTAAGAGGAAGTCAGTTGCTCAGCCCACAGCGGGCCGGTGGCCAAGCTGGGGCTAGAGCACCTAGGTCAGGCCCTTTCTCCTCCGCCTTACTGCCTGGCAAGGACAGAGTGGGAGGTCGCCCAGGGTAGCATTCCACATACACAGATTACGTGACAGTCCCTTTCTCTTAACTGTGGTCTTCACACCCCTTCACACCTGGGGGCTTTGAAGTCAGACATGAGTATCTGCTGAGCACCTCCCATGTGCTGGCCCTGGCTCTGTCTTCTTGGAGCCCTCACCAAAAAGAGGGCTCTAAGAGAGAGGCCTGTGGGGTTGTGAGTGCACAGAGTAGCGGGCTGGGCGGACAGGGGTAGCATCATGGAGAAGTGATACACAAAAACAGGAGTTCACTCAAGTACCTGAGAGGCCAGGAGAGTCCAGGCAGAGGGAGCAGGTGTGCAAAGGCTCGGGGGCACAAGGGATCACAACAGGTGAAAGTTCTGCCCGGAGGGCGGTCTGGTGAAGATGAAGAGAGGACAGGCGAGGAGGCAGAGGGTTCTGGGGCAGCAGCCATTAAGACATTGTCCTAAGAGACACAGTAACCAACCCACTGGAGGGTTTTTTGTAGGGCTGACCTGCTCTGACTGGTGTTTCAGGAAGATCACTGCTGTTGTAATGAGAATGGATTTGGGGTCCTGAAAGTCTGTGGGTTGGCCCCTGAACAGCACCTGCAAGATCTGGGCAGGAGCCAATGACAGTGGCTCCAGTGGGGGTGGCAGTGACAGGCACTGTGCCAAGGGTCTGTGACTTAGCTGTGTTTCCATGCAGGGGACTTTGTGCAGCTGCCTGTGCCCAGCATCCAGCAGCTCTACCACTGGGACTGTGGCCTGGCCTGCTCCAGGATGGTGCTGCGGTGAGTGGGCAGGCCAAGGCCTTCCCTGTCCACACCAAATGCTCTGGCTGGGGGGAGATACAGGGAGGGCCCTGGGTGGGATTCATCATCCATGTAGCTGTCCTTGGCTGGGGTTTGTGGGAGGCCCAGCTTCCATTCAGGCTCAGTCCTATCTGCAAAAGCAAGCAAGGGATGGGCCAGGCTTTCCAAGTGTCCACTCTGGGAATGCCTGGGAGCTCTGGGGATGGCCAGGGAAGTCCCAGGTGCCCAGGTCTGGTCCACAGAGTGATCCCATGACTGGGACACAGGGCCTTCCATCTTTTTGGCCTCAGGCTCCTGGAAGACTGGGTGGGTCACTGGGTGGCTGACCACTGAGCTGAGGCTGTGTGACCATCGCTGGAACGTTGACCATCAAGGCTTGGAGGAACCATAGCCATCACCTTTTAGGTGGCTACCGGGAACCCCGGAGCAGCGTTTCCCTTACCCCTTTTACGTCCTGGAATTCTAGGCAAGATAGGGTTCAACAGAAGACTTCTCTTGAGTAAAGCTTAGAAAACCACTGACGTGGTCCAAGCACCTCATCTTAGAGATGAAGCTAGTGAGAACAGAGAGGGTGGTGACTTGCCCAAAGTAACACAGCCAGCCTGAGAGGTGAGAAGCAGAATTCAGGCTCTCGGTTCTAGGGCCAGCATGGCGCCCAAGCAGCCTCAGGCTGTCTGCAGGAAGGACCTAGGGTTTCATGACAGGACAGAGCTTTGTGGGGCCTGGGAACTCTGCCTGTGGCTGATGGACCCACAGATGAAGGGCGACCCAGACCAACTTCCCCTCAAGGCGAGCCGACCTCCACGGGCTATCTGCCCACAGGTACCTGGGCCAGCTGGACGATGGTGAGTTTGAGAGTGCCCTACAGGAGCTGCGGCTGACCAGGAGCATCTGGACCATCGACCTGGCCTACCTGATGCGCCATTTTGGCGTGAGGCACCGCTTCTGTACCCAGACTCTGGGCGTTGACAAGGGCTACAAAAACCAGGTGAGTGGCTGGCCGCCAGACCTTTACCAGGTCCAGTCATTGGAAGAGGGCACAGGCAAGGCCTGGACACCGAGTGGGCACACAGGTATGCAGAGACCAGGGAGCATGGCAGACATGCCGTGGGCAGGACTTGAAGCTGGTAAGACCAAGGGACCTTGAGGCTCGGCCTGCCCAGAAGATTTGAACAGCAAGTTGGGTCCCTCCTGGCACCCCTGCCCCAGAGAACCCTGCTGCCTGCCTTCAACAGCACTTGAGGACATGCAAGTTCTGTGCCCTTCCCTCCTGTCCCTTAACTCAAGGCAGGGCCCAAGGTCTCAGAGTAGACCATTCTGACCTCATCCAACAATTATTTGCCCATTTTCTTTCTTCTCATGAGAACAGCTGACCTTAAGCTGGGTAATTGGTATTCTGAAAGATAAACCAAAATATCACCTTTAAAAATAATAATAATAATAATGCCAACATAGCCTCACCAGCACACCAGTGCATTTCCTCTCCCTGCACAGCTAGAGCCGGTCTTGCCTGCCACTGAGGCAGAGCTCAGCCCAGGCTCTGAAACTTGGCAGAGCAGAGTCACTGCTGGCCTCTTTGGCAAGAGGGTTGTCATACAGCGGCTGGGCCAGTCAACTAACTCCCCTCTGAACCTTCCAGGCCGGGGGAACAAGGCTCTCACATCTGGCTTGGTCACCATGACCACGAGGCAGAGAAAGGAGCCCAAGAACAAGGTCACATCGGCCTCCCCCATGGGGGCTCTGGCCCCCTAAGGTCCCTGCACCAAACAAAGTATGTTCCATGGACCTGACCTGGCTAAGCCGAGTGATGGCTAAGCATTCAGGTGGGCTCAGCTGCCCCTTTGCTCATTTATTCGGACTCCTGCTCATGTCCTACCAGAGACACAAGCCCAGGGGTGACTGACCTTCCCCAGGGAAGCGACCTGAGCCCGGCTGCCCACCCATCGTCTGAGCATCACCTTCATGACTCTGTGTGGTCCTGTCACCCTGCCGGCTTGGGACACACGGGTTTCTGCTCACATGCTGCATATGCCGTCTCCCATGGCAGGCCAGGCTCCGCCACTCTCCCACCATCTCTGACTCCGTAATGTGCTCTCTGTCCAAATGGGGTGAGGACAGCCAGGGTGGGCAGCCCCTCCAGCCTGCTCTTTTCTCTTCAGTCTTTCTATAGGAAGCACTTTGACACAGAGGAAACCCGGGTGAACCAGCTGTTTGCACAAGCCAAGGCCTCCAAGGTGCTGGTAGAGAAATGGTGAGCCTGCCCGCACCCTTTCTTGCACACCTGCTCACCCATAGGCTCACAGTGGGAGAGGCCTCACGATGGCATGCGGGAAAGGCTAGGGCCTCGGGAGTCCGGCAGAACGGGGGTTTCCTGCTCGGGGGGCCATGGGCACTGACTTGCCCGCCCTGAGCCTTGGTTTTTCCATCCACGAAATGGGGACCGGTGGGACTGCTGTACCCAAAGCTCCAGCCTGAGATGGAGCCTGATCAGGGCCTGGAGGGACAGGGGAGCAAGACAGACTCCAGCCAGTCCTTGGGCTTCTCACAGAATGGTGGCATGGGACAGAACCCAGGAAGCTGAATGAAGGGGTGACAACCTGGGGAGCATGCTGGCACAGTGACGGAGGGTAACAGGACAGCCCAGCGTGTAGGCTGTCTAGGGAGGCCTGGCTCCCGGATCTCCCCGCAGGCTGCTATGACCTTACATGGGCTTCCCCTTCTCATGTGTACGTGGGGGCAGGATTCAGGCAGACCCTGGGAGTAACGTGCCCGCATGCGAGGGGCTTTCTGCCCCTCTCAGGCCTCTTGGCTCAGGTCCCGGCCGGGCTCCCCTGGACCACTCTTCTCAGGTCTCCCTGTTCTTTACAGATTTCTGTTTACTTATTAATATAATGAACCACACTATAGGTGACTTAGAACACAGGAGAAAAGTTTCCTTATGCTACATGAGCACATGTTGGAAGGAAAGGCAGCAAACGTTATTTAGTGGCACTTGAGAGGTGCTGTCTTATTGAGTGGGAAGCTGGTGCTGTTGTCATTCCTCAGCTGAGGAAACAGAAGAAGGGGAAAGTGTGAGCCGCCCACAGTCCTTGCCCCAGCAAGTCAGCCATGCTGTGATCCCAACCTGACACTTCCACACACAGTTATCCCATGCAGCCCGCTGCCTTCCCTTCCAGACCAGCCCCTGCTTTTCTCCTGTAGCTGAAATCTCACTCTTGTACATACCATTGGGAAGTCAGCCAGTTATTTCATTTCAAAGACCAAATGGGAAAATGACATGTTTCCCTGGGCTGAGGCAACAAACCAAATTGCCATGTGACTCAGCCGTGGGCTGGAGTTGGGCCAGGCCACTGGTGCTAAGGCCATCACTGTTGAGGAGATTGCTAAGGAAGGAGAGCCCACAAAGATGGTGGAGCCCCTGGCCTTGGACTTGCTGCCTTCTGGGTGGGGCGGCACCACATGGGGCAGCTGGCTCTGCTGGTTTGGGGGTTCTCCTGGAAGTGCTGCTGACCAGCCCTTCTTAGACAGCCACTTCTGCCACAAGGGACCTTAGGAAAAAAGAAAAATAGCCCTTTCAGAGAAGCATTTGTTTTTGATACTGGCAAAGCCATGCTTGGCTCAGATTCAGGGAATTAAATCGGACCAACAGTTTCCAATGTAAACCACACATGTTTTGGGGTAAAGGACCAATGGAGGTGCTTGGCTAAAATAATTCACTTACCAGTCCAGGAGGTGGGGTCCCATGTGCTGCTCCACTAGCCCCTGACAGGCCCATCTGGAGCTAACCTTTTGCCACCCCCTAAAGGGTCTGACAGAGCCAGCTTGTCCTTGAGCATACTCAGAGACCCCCTCCGCTGGTCCTGTGTTTGGCCCTGTACTGAGCCTGGACCACAGTGACAAAGCAGGACGTTCCCACTTGCAAGGAGCTCAGGGTGGAGGGAAGGCGAGCCACATCCCCAAGCTGTGTGACACAGGGCAGAACGGGTCCAACCAGGGGTCCACTTGAAAAATGAGGAACGGGGCCCAGTGGCACCAGCTTACCCTCCTCCCACCCACAGCACGGTGAGCGTGCAGGACATCCAGGCTCACCTGGCGCAGGGCCATGTGGCCATTGTATTGGTGAACTCAGGGGTGCTGCACTGTGACCTCTGCTCCAGCCCCGCCAAGTACTGCTGCTTCGCCCCCCGTGGCCACCGCTGCTTCTGCCGCACCCCCGACTACCAGGGCCACTTCATCGTGCTGCGTGGTTACAACCGGGCCACCGGCTCCATCTTCTACAACAACCCAGCGTACGCTGACCGTGAGTGTGGCAGGCGGGGACAGGGACAGTGGGCGGGGCGGCTGCATTCACGGTTCCATTCGCCTGGCCCTCCTAACTCCTTCCCACTCAACTTGGTGCGGCCAAGACCTCCCTTGCTGCCTTCTCCCCAAAGCCCCTGCTCCTCCTGGGCTCCTGTCATCGGTGCCACCCCTCGGGCCATGCAGCAAACCAGCCGCAAACCTGGGGCCATGCTGGCCTCCTCCACACCCAGTCATCACCAGGCCGGGCCATTTCTACCTCCCACACTGCTAGCTCCACGCCACCGCCCAGGGCCCTGCCTCACCATCTCATGCTGTGTAGACTGCAGCTTCCTTCCCTCCCCACGCTAGCCTCCCCAGGACAGTCAGCATGCGCATCAGAAAGTCTGCCCAGCTCCTCCAGGGCTCCCTGCTGCCCTGGGGATGGCGAAGGACTGCCCTAACTCACACAGGCTTACCCTATGTGGCCTCGAGCACGTGTCTTCCCTTTCTGGGCTGCGCTTTCTCCACCTGCTAAATTGGGGAGGGGTCAGGAACAAGCTCATAAAGGCCACACGAGGCAAGGAGGGCTTCCTGGGGCTGGAAGACTTGTGTGTCGAGGGGTGGCCGGGCAGTTGGGATGCGGTCAGACCGCCCCCAGCTTCCCTGGGCGCCAGTGATGCAGGCGCTCTTCCCCAACCCCCTGCCCCTGCCCCGCCCCTCCTGCCCCCAGCAGGAATGTGCAGCACCAGCGTCAGTAACTTCGAGGAGGCCAGAACCAGCTACGGCACAGATGAGGACATCCTCTTCGTCTACTTGGACAGCTGACAGCAGGAGCTTGGTGTGCCTCGGGCCCTCAGACCCCACCCTGCCCCACCCAAGCTGGTCCCACTCAGAAGGCCCTGCCCAAGCCCTGGGGCTGCCGGGGCTCGGATGCAGAGCTGGGGCCTCAGCCCCTGTGACAAAACTCCTGGGGAACTCTGGGAAGCTGCAGCACTCCTGCTTCATCCACCAGTGGTGAGGGTCATCGTGCCACTTACCCAGCTTCCCTGCTGGTTGCTGGAGGCATCCCCAGGGCATCTGAGCAGAGCTTCCCCCAGGACCCCGAGCCTGACTCCAGCTGTGTCCAGGGGACGTCCAGCACCGACAGTACCCTGGTTGCCTGCGAGCCAGACCCTGGGCCAGGGGAGAGGTCTGAGTCCATCTCCCCACAGACCTAGGGACCAAGCCCTTGAGAGAGATGTTGCTTATCGGGATAGCATCTGTGTGTTTGGAGACTGTAGCTAACCCTGGCCTTGCTGGGAGCGGTCCTCACCCTTCTCCCTGGAAGTGCTGCAGAGCCCCCCTGTGTCCTTTCATGGATGCTACCGCCCCCTCTGGCATTCCCAGTGGGCCCAAGTTCCTGTGGCTGGTTCAAGGCCTCTGGCTCCCGGGGAGGACTGGACCTCAGGAAGAAAGGACTCTGAGGCCCCTGCAGCCCTCCAGGTACTCCAGCTCTAAAGGGTATGGGCAGGGCCCTGGTGAGTGTGCTCAGGGTGCCTGACCCAGAGGGCTAGGGACAGCTGCCTGGGCCCAAAGATCTCTCTCACCCATAAGGCCTCCTGACACTAGCCTAAGTCCCAACAGTGGGGCCTGTCCTCTGAGTGTGGGGAGCCCCAGGTCTCACAGGGCCTATGCTGAAGCAATGGCGGGGGAGCGGGCAGCCTGTGGCCTCGCACCCACCCTGGGGTTCACACCAGGACCTTTTGCACAGAATGTTGGGTCTCTTCTATCATGACAAAGAAGGGTGGTGCCTGCCCAGGATCACACAGCATGGCACGGAGCATGAACTAGAGCTGTTGCCTTCTTTTTCTTTTGGGGGGGTTGGGGACGGGGGGGCCGTGCGGGGGTAGGCGGTGGGTTGTTTTTTTTTCTTTTTGAAATTTAAGTTTTTACTTTTGGGGTGATAATCACCCTCAAGTAAGACAATAATCGATTACAGGTACTTTGGAACCACTGACACCTCTCTTCACGGGGCAGATAAGCCAGCCCAAGTTCTCTTTCAAAGAGAAGGGGACTCCCAGCTGGTGGGCTTGAGTGCCATGGCCCCTCACCCTTACAGACAGAATCTGGCCCAGTCTGGGGAGAGTTTGCCCAGGAGGCTGGTGGAGCTGGGTCTTGAACCCAGGTCTACACCTAAAATGTAAAGGAAATGGGTCATTTCCAGAGGGGCTGGGGCACCCACCCCTCCCAGGCTGACTGTGGCAAAGGAGCAGAGGTGCCCCAACAGCCCCACTGACACTGCACCTCTGCGATTTGGTCTTCCAGTGCCCAAGGCATGATGCGGTGGCAGCTGCTGCCCTCCCCCTCCAGCCGGCCCCTCCCCACCATGGCTGCTCTGAGGGGCCGCGGTGGGCTTTGCTTACAAAGGCTGTCAGACCACCCAGCCATATTGCTCCTCAACGCCTGACGCAACCTTGGCCGAGAGGGAGGCGCTGTTAGCTGGGCAGCCACCCCTGGGTGTGAGACAAGCGTTGCCTTCAGACTGGTCTCGTTTCTTTTGCCTTAATGCTGGTTGGCCCAAGATCCCGGGGAGCTCCGGCTCCATGCTCAGGAATACCACATGTGGCAACTGTGGGGTTTGGGCGTCCTCAGGAGAGGCCCAAGTAAAACTGTGGTGAGAATAGATGTGTCAAGGAAAGCAAGAGGAAGTGAAGCTTTCAGGGTGGCTGAATGAGTGAGGCACGTGCCCATGCTGGTGGGACTATCATGGAGAGCAGCCTCCATAGACAGTGGTCATAGCACCTCAGTCCATCATGTGACATTTAAAAACGCTCAGTCCCTGGGCTTGGAGGAGGGCTTCTCAGGGCAAGCCACAAGTTAGGGGTCAACTGTGTGGAAGATTAACAAGAAAGCTGCCTGCCCCTGAGATGGTGCCACCTTCCCAGCGAGGGTCATGGAGGCAGGACACAAACCACACCATGTTGTATATTGAAAAAAATCATGAAAATGGGGCCAGAGAAAAAGCCCCATCAGGAACTTCTGCCTACAGCACGGGGCACCCACAACCCCCTATCCACACGCTGGGGGTCCAGCACCCCCCCTCCCCCCCAAAGCACAGCAGACATTTGGCTTTGTTCACTCCAGCTACATGGGGACAAAAGGGATCTTTTGCATTGCAGAGATTTTATACATAAATATATTTTGTTTGTAATAAGCCATTCTCAATAAATGTTATTCTCACTGCAAAATCATGGCAGCCCCTGGCCTCCCTTCGTGAATTCTTGTCTCCTCAGCACGAGCACATGGGAGCCCAGGTCCTCAACTGGCCATACCAGGTTTTAGCTGGGACTGGAAGCTAGTTTTCTGCTTTTTCCGGCCTGCATCATTCCTGATGCTTGTGCAGGGCCTAGGCAGGCAATACTGGAGGTGGAAGGGCCTCCGAGGTCAACTTGACCAAGGTGCTTGAAGAGGGCATGGAGGATGTACAGCCTCGGGCAGGAGGAAGTCGGGGAGGTGGGGGATATCAAGTGAGGGGGGCAGTGGGGACCACAGGAGGGAATAGAGGGACTCCAGCCATCCCTGCACCCTTCACTCCAACCAGCAGCTCCCTGTATCTGCTAGCTATTTGGTCCTTCTAGTATTTTATTTGATAAGAATTATACTTCTAAAAAGGAAGCGTTTGGAAATCCTGCATTATGTGGCATCTTCAGACCTGCCCCAGGTCCTAGAGGGACGCTGATGGAACCAGAGCTGGCTCCTCGGGTAGGGTCCCGGCGTCTGGCCTGTGCTGTCATCCTGACTGCCCCTCCCCAAGCCCCATATTGTGGAGATATATTAGGAGGTTGGACTGAGGTCTTGGGCTACTCCAAACTGGAGAGCAGCCCTATAGACATCAGTCGGAGTTGACCAGCTGAGGTTGGGGTACCCAACCGGTGTCCCAGACAGTGTGGCAGGTGTTCTACATGGGTAGCCAACAGCATAACATGTAGTGAACTTGCCCCTCTGCCCTTGAGCATGAGCCTTCTGCCCACCCAAGGGAAAGGGGCTCCGCCCGGAATGGGCATGTCATGGGTTGGGACGGGCATGGGAAAGATTGGTTTGGGCCTCTGAGTGGCCAGTGAGTACAATTACAGGAGAAAAATGACAAAATGGAGGTGTTGAAGCAGGAGGGACGAAAGTAGGTGGAGTGGTGAGTCCTGGGTGGAGTTGGCTGCCCAGAGCATGCAGGGTGGGGATAGTGGCGGAACAGGCTGAAGACTCCTGGGAGGGGCTCCACTGGGAGCCAAGGGCTAGGCCAAAGCAGAGGTCTGGGTGTAGCTGAACTGGTGACTTTGGCCTAGGGTCTCTCATGAGGTTGCATGAGGGTCTCAAGCTCTTGGCTGGGGCTGCAGTCATCTCAAGTTTCAACTGGGGCTGCAGCATCCACTTCCAAGCTCACATATAGGGCTGCTGGCCACAGGCTGCCTGGGTAGCCTCCTGATATGACAGATAGTAATGAGAGGAAGGGATAGATGGAGAGGGAGGGAGAGAGAGAGAACGGGTTCCCAGGACAGGAACCCACAGCCTTTTAATAACCTAATCTCAGAAGTGACATCATGTCATTTCTGCAGAGTTCTATTTGTTAGAAGTGAATCAGTCAGTCCAGCTCACACTGGGGATTACACAGGGCGTGAACATGAGGAAGCAAGGAGCACTGGAGGTCAGGTGGTTCCATTTTTTAAACCTCAGAATAAAGTTAGGAACGCGCCCTGGGGACCATCTTGTCTAGTGGGTCGTGAGGTGTGCCCTTTGGAATGCCAATAGTGAGAGGATCTGTACAATGGGGTGTGCTGGTCAGTCCAGCTTGGCAAACACTGCGTGCTACAGTCTCCTCCAGGAGATTTAGGATGTGCAGGAAAGGGTACAACCCTGCAGCAAGGAGATCCCATTCATTTAGGGTTTCCCCAAGTTAGCCACAGAGTTTGTTTTCTTATAACACTGGTATTCCATGAAATATGCTGACACTTGGGTAACCACTTGTCTAGCCCAAGGGGGAGACTGCAATCAAGAGAGGGGAGGGACTGGCCCAAGCTCATCACTCAATAAGTGACAGACAAAGCTAGAGGCTCTAGAGCAGCGGTTCTCAACTTTCCTAATGCCGCCACCCCTTAATACAGTTCCTCATGTTGTGGTGACCCCCAACCATAAAATTATTTTCATTGCTACTCTATAACTGTAATTTTGCTACTGTTATGAATCGTAATGTAAATATCTTTTTGTTTTCCGATGGTCTTAGGTGACCCCTGTGAAAGGGTCGTTCGACCCTCAAAGGGGTCGCAACCCACAGGTTGAGAACCGCTGCTCTAGAGTAATGACAACCTGTATTGCTGCTTTCCCAACCCTCAGCCCAAGCCACAGTCAGACCCTGGTGACCCGATAGGAGTGAGCCAATGCCAGAAGAGCCAGGAAGTGAACTCTGAGTTTTGGAGCCAGAGACTGACTGCCGCTGGCTCCTGGGGTCCTGCCTCCAGGTAGAAAGCCTGGCTTGTGGCCCCAATACCCTGGAAGACTATCTATTAGTATCATAAACATCTTTTCTTCAAGCATGTTTGCCACAGCAATTTTGCATATTTGCCTCAATTTTCACTGCAGATATTTTCACTGCAGAACTAATTGGCCATAAAGCAGTTTTACTGTAAAAGATAAAATACCTGGTTGACAATTTGGTTGACATTTGGCAGACTTAATGTATTTTTGTCAGTTTGGTTTCATTTCTCCATTGACTAAGTTCTTGCAATACTATTATGCATCTATTAGCCCTCAATATACAGTGACGAGTAGACGTGGTGGCCTTAAAATAATGGATGACAACAGCTACGTATGAAGCCAGACTGATTGCCAAGCCACGTGTAAAACCAGGTTGCACACTGTACTAGAAAATGATCACATATCAATGTGTTTGCAAATCCTTTGGGGACCACTGTCATCCCTCCTGTCAAAACCTAAAATGTTTACAAGCCATGGCAAATATAAAAGAGGTGGCTGCTAGTTCACAACAGTCTTTGAGAGCATTAAGTACTGGTTCTTTAGTTGGAAATTGATATCTCTCTTAATGAAGAAAGAAATTTTAGTGAAAAAGAAAAAATGTTGCTGAACAAGGAGATGAAGCAATAAGCAAAAAAGAATGTATCATACTATGAACAAAAGACCTCAAAGACAATGTATTAAAAAAAAAAAGAATGTATTTTCATTTTTTTGCAATAAAGTCTTCTAAATTTTGTTAACTTTTTCACATTTCATTATGTGCCTTTTCTACTATCCCTCTTTTATGTTTTGTTTTGTTTTTTTAATTTTATTGGGTTTGGGGGAGGGGAAGTGTGTTGGGAATTGGGGAAGGGGAATAGCCAAGTTGTTGTCCTTCAGTCTTAGTTGTGGAGGGCGCAGCTAGCTCAGCTCCAAGTCCAGTCGCCATCTGGCTGCCCGACAGCAGCTCGCGGCCGCTCAGCTCAAGATGCTGTGTTCAATCTTAGTTGTGGGTGGGCATAGCCCACCATCCCAGGTGGGAGTCGAACTGGCAACCTTGTTGTTAGGAGCACGTGCTCTCACCAGCTGAGCCATCCTTCCACCTGTTGGCAGCTCAGCTTGAGTGCAGCTCACTGGTCCATGTGGGACTCGAACTGGCGACCCCGTTGCTCAGAGCTTGCGCTCTTAACCAACTGAGCCACTCGTTTTTTGTTGTTGTTGTTGTTGTTTTTAAGATTTTATTGGGGAATTGGGGGAGGGGAACAGTGTTGGGGAATCAGGGAAGGGGAACAAACAAGCTGCTGTCCTTTTGTTCTTCAGTCTAGTTGTGGAGGACGTCACTTCACTGGCCCATGTTGGTATTATCATTGCGCTCTTCCCGGGTGAGGCAATCGGTCGCTGGCCAATGGACGGCCGCTCATGGCAGCTCATGGCAGCTCACAAAAGCTCACACCAGCTGCCGGCCACTCACAGCAGCCCAGCTCCAGATCAAGCTGTTGTTCACCATCTTAGCTGTAGAGGGCGCAGCGCCACTGGCCCTCATGTGGGATCTGAACCGGGACCCTGCTGCTCAGAGCTGGCGTCCCAAGCCAACTCTTAACCAATGCGCCACTTGGCCGGCCCTATGTTTCTTTCTTTCATTGTTTAAGGCGAAATTGCCTTATGGCCAATTAGTTATGTGGCAAAAATGCTTGCGGCAAGGATGGTTGGGGCGGGATTACCTAGAACCCCGGGAAAGGCATAGATCTTGCTCTCCTTGCTAACTTGCCTCCATCCAACCTGCCTCAGCCACAGTATCCAGGAATGCACGTCATGGACTAGCCCACACCCTCAGCTTCAGAACAGAATTGAGAAAACCAGGAGACGTCATCCTGCTGAGCTGCTGATCCCAGGGGCTGAGTGATGGGACCAGCATGGACTTGAGTGTTCATGGGAAAGCCTCAGTGCCAGGACCTGGAGACTGAGACCCCTACAGGCCCAGCAGTGGCCTCGCCAGTGGCTTTTCCATCATCTCCCCACCCCCACTCTCTTTGCTTCTCCCTGGTTGTATGTCCCGAAATGCACCCTGAACAAGGCATGCCTTGGAGGTTCTGCAGGTTCGGTTCCAGACCACCACAATAAAGTGAGGCATACTATTTTTGTTAGTGGAGGGTCTTGCCTTCAATTTTTAAAAACCGTGCAACATTTGTGAAGCTCAGTAAAGTGAAGTATAATAAATTGAGGTATGCCTATCCTGTTTCCTGAGGATCCCACCCAGCCCCTGGTGGAATCCTGGACTTTCCCCATTCCTGGGAGATCTAGTGAGCCAGGCTTCCCAAGCTGTTTGGAGCCCCTTGATTGACAAAGGCTGATGTCTACGTCTCGTTCCACCCTCACAATAGACCCATAAGGCTGCCAAGCTGGCCTCTTCTTGGTACTTCCCACCTGCCAAGATCCTTTCCTCCCTCAGGGCCTTTGCACCTCCCCTGTGTCCTCCCTCAGGGCTCTGCTCAACGGCATGCTTTTAAAGAAACACCTCCAGCCTTTCTCCAATCACATCATCCTGTCTACCTGCCTCCACTGCTGTAGTTCCAGTACTTGACACCTGGTAGGTGCTTGATAAAGTACATGAATGATTGGCAGTAGGTCTTTAGTAACCCCTGTTTTAGTGGTCCTCCTGTACTTTTCAGAACCACAGGTCATCATTAAAGGGGAGGATGCACTTGAACCTTTGATGTCATATAGAATTCAGCAGACAACTCTCCTACAAGGATG